CTGAAAAAATGATGAAAGAAGTCCCAAAAAAAGCATAGAAAATATCTTAAGGTTCCGAAATTAAAAAATAAATAAAAAAAAAAAATTCCCATCAGGTCTAGAACAAATACCTAGAAAATCAAAAGCCTCAGCGGATTCTAAAAAGTCCAAATATTTCGGGAAGCTCCGACAAAAATAGCTAAAAAGAGCAGAAAATCCCAAAAAAAGAGGAAAAATCTCGAAATATGCCGAAAAAATTGCAAAAATTCCCTAGTAAACTGAAAAAGTCGCGAAAAAGATCTTGAAAAAAACTCTAAAAATATCTCAAACTTCACAAAGGTTACGAAATGTTTTAAAAGTATTCCAAAAATGCTAAAAAAAAATTTCCGCAAGCTCTAAATAAATGCTGAAGAAAGGCAACAGTAAAATCACGAATAATCCTGAATGCTTTATAAACATCTTGAGAATCGCGAAAAATCCCAAAGCATTCTAAAAAGTACTCAAATGTGGAGAAATTCCAAGAAAATCTATCGTTTTTTCTTACTAGAAGTATTGAAAGTCAACTGGAGGCCATGTTGTGCAATGTGAGAGGATGCTACTGAGGCAACGTAAAAATGACAAATTTTTTCCATATATCACGACGCACTTGTTGAATAAATATTATGTCACATCTCTCTTCTGGTTTTGTATGCTAAAAATATACAATTTATTAATATTCTGTTTATTTTCAGCGTCGGTAATGCAAAATATGTATGTACATATTTATGTAAATTTTTCGCATATTTTTCACGGAAATTCATTCAATAAATTTGTATCGTATCTGCTTTGAATTGCATGCACTTAAGCAATTTGCCTATTTCCACGCTCTAAGTATTTTTAAAAACAAAAAATTTATTTACATATTCTTTCTTTGGCAGAGCGCTAAATTTTTGCCACCTGCTCATCAACCTACATACTTGCATATATTTATGTATGTATGTATTTATATAATAAGTATGTAGATTATTTTGTAAAAATATTTCCTGCATTTTGTTTCAAACATTCCTTTGCGTTCACAAGCATTTTCCTTTGCTTTTTGCCATGTTGCAGCTAAATATTTTCAGTCAATCATATTTAATTTTTTTTCTTGAATCTTCGTAAATTTGTAAATTTTGTAAATATTTACAGATTTAAAATAAACTTACATAAATTTGTAGTCTTTGCTATTAAACACAAAATAAATTTTCAAACATTTTTGTACACATGAATTTTACATTCCTATTTTCCGGATGATCTACATAAATTCGCTTACAGCATGTAGTTAGTACGCAAACAAAAATAATATAAAACTCATATACTGTATGTAAGTTCCTACATATGTATACATACAGTATCGGTCATATCAATATCACCCCAAATTCAAAGTGTTACTGTTTGCCACTTATGTTTATTTATTTGAGTAGTCCACTTGCAAAGTGCGCTATATTTTTTCAATTATTAGTTTTTGGTGGATTCCGTACGAGTATTTAAAGTAGTTTCATGTCCACTAACAACACAGTGCAATATCTTTTTATATTCTGAAAAAATAGCATAAAATGTTAACTCTTCTCCCAAAAGTCGCTACCATACTTATTTATAAACTTTCAAAAGTATCCATCCTCTGATGAACCTAGAAAACTGCTTTAGGTCGTGTAGACTGTTAATGTAATTTTATGTCATGGTATGTTATGTTATAATTTTATAAGGCTCTTATTTATAAAAATTTTCAGGTAATAATAAAAAAGATTCAATTTAAATGTTACTTGTTGTCGTAGTCATTTTTTCAAATTTATGGCCTTCTTTTATAAAATCACATAACGCTGTTTGCAAGTGGACTACTCATTTATTTGTTAAGAATTTTCAAGTAAAATACAGTTCATTCTCTAACAAAACTCATAAACCAAAGTTTAAAACTTTGCAGAAACAAAAAAAAATGCAGAAAGTATTCATCCTAATTTCAAACTTTTTTCTCAGAAGTGTTAGAATTTTTTTGAGTATACAGTTTTGTAGCCCATTCAATTTTAGTCTAACAATCTGCAATTTGCAATTGGCTAAAAACCACCGTTGATTTTTAGACTTTTTACCTCGCCTCTATTAGCTCGGGATGTAACTATGTAATATTGATGCGCCTAAAAGATGCAGCGATTTCCATTCTCAATTACATGCCTGATGACAGTACGAATTTGAATTGCTTTAAACTTCCGTTCTTAAAACTTCCATTCGTACTGTCACCAGGTTACTTTAATAGCGAGGTTTTAGTTTTTTAACTATAATTTTTTTATTTTGCCGAAGGTTTTGCGGTTTTCTTCCATATAAAAATAAATTAGCTCCATTCGTTATATGGAAGCAAATGCGACAACGGTAATTTTTAGCTACTTGAAACTTGCACAATATTATACTAAAATTGAATGGGCTATAAAACTGTATATGTATGTACTCAAAAAAATTCTAGCACTTCTGGGAAAAAAGTTTGCAATTTGGATGAACAGTTTTTGATTTTTTTTTTTTAGTTTTCTACAAGGATTTATAGCCCGATTCTGTATCGGTGAAAAAAATTTTTTTTACTGACAAATTTCAAATTTTTCATATATTTTTCCGTAATAAAAACTGTGACAAGAATTTGTCAGTGATACAGAATAGAGCCGTTTAACTTGGATTCATATGGGCTTTTTAGAGAATGATGTGTATTTTAATAGATAATTCTTAAAGTAAATAAATAAGTGGCAAACAATATCACATTTTGAAATGGCGATCCTATTGATATGACCGGTAATGTATGTAAGCATATTCATAAATACTTTGTACATATTTACTCACACTCGTTCTAATTTAACAAAGCGCAATTATATGTAGCTAGCGAAAAGCTTGAAGCGCTTTTTACATATATGTACGAGTACATGTACATATGTACGTCCACCCTCAGGCCTTCTGCCAAAATTTGTGATGACCTAATTTTTCAGCATCTCGCAGCTGTGTCATGTAATAGGCGGATATACAAAGTGCTATGCTTATTTGTATTCCAATGTATGTACACAGTAATCTGCATATAATAATAACCGAAAAATTGTTTTATTTCTATTGTGCGCGGAAATAAAATTTTCCCTCGCAAATTTTTCGTTTACAAAGCATATTTTGTAGTCCTGTCGCTATGTGGGCGAAGTGCTTTTAGCGAGGAGCGGGCATCGAAAGCCGACTCCTGATCAGTGTGTAGTTTAAGCAAAGCACAATCAAACCTGCTACCGCCTTTGCACAGAACACGGGGGTCTGTAAAACTCTTCGTGCAGTTGCTGCAAATAGGATGGGAAATCCGTTGTACATTATCTTTACGAGCGATCCGTACTGGCTCGTAAAGGACATGGGACACTAGGCAAATTTTCTAAATTCATAACAAAAGTTGAAGCTTCCAAGAAAGCTACCATTTAAGCTGAAAAACAATTCAGTGCTTGAACTAGTTTCTAGGTTAGGTCTAAAGTAGCAGTCAATGGATAATAAATGAATTGTAACGACGGATTATATAGAAAATTTATGGTCATTTGCGCCTTGGCGGTAGGGATTACAAACATATATAAATATATTAGAGACCATCAATGAGGAGCGGTGTAAGCTTTACGAGGACTTAGGTATAGGTTAGCAACTAAACACTTTAAAAGCGCTCGTGTTTATTAATATTTTTTTTTTTGAAATGTTGGTGAAACAAAGAAAAGTTAATTACTATTCTGGCGTCAGAGGCTTAGTGATTTACTTATTTTTGTCACCTTGGGCAGCTTAGCATTCAGAAGCATCCCAAGTATTGATACTGGGCACTTGCGTAAGAGTTATTTCTCAAACCAAAATTTTTAATCTTCCTTCCTATTTCTTAGCAACTTTTCCCACCCATTCACCACACTTTTATTCCAGCGCGCCTGAACTTTTTTTTAAATTATAAAACGCCAACTACTTAAACAGCCATCACTTCTTCCCAATGACATCATCCAATTTAAGTTGCTTCAAACACAAATTTTATTGCAACTAAAAACACAAATTGTTAAAATTGCTTTATGCTATTTACGAGTCGCAACTCGCGCTTACTTCCCCCTTTCTATCGGCCGGCCAGCCAGCCTGCCAGCCATTGTGTTAATCGTGCTAATTTCATTGACTAGGAATAGGTTTTTTTACCTGTAATAGTGACTAAAAATTCAAATACAAAATTTACGCTAATTGTACTGAACAATACACGTAATTTACGTAGCAAATTTACACAAATTTTGTGTTGTTTTCAAATGATTTTTAAGCGTTTTACGTTTGCTAAAAATTAAAAAAGAAAAAACAAAAATAAATTTATGAAAAGAAACGAATGAACTGCTCGTAAAATAAACAAAATTATTCATGTTGCTTGCGTAAATTGCTTAAAATGTTGAGCAACAAATTTTCACCTAGTTGTACTAACAATTGCCAATGACATGTTAAGCGATGTTTTGTTTTTCCGTAGGCATTCCAAAAGGAAACGGTAGGCAGTAGGCAGAGGTAATCGGATTTTGAGTGGGTCATTTTTTATTTGGTAGAATGACTTTTCCACATAATTTTTCGCAAGAGAACGAGGACTTCAACAATTTCTTGAAATTGGTTGAAGTTGCTTATAAATTTGATTGACAGTTTTTGCTATAAATAAATATTTTCATTAGTTTTCTTTAGAAACTTGATTTAGCGTTTTCTAAAAAGAGTTTAGATGGTTTAGACATGTATCACTTTCAGCGCTGTATTTTAAGCAAATACTGAAGCTTCAAAACCATTAAAAGCTAGTCTATATTAATCTTGCATGTCTAATACCAACAAAAAATTCCAGCGTACATCACTTTTAACAGCAATTTTAGCAAAAAAGGCGAATAATAACAGTTGTTAGTCTCGTCTGAAATTAATGTCCTACATCCGGTCGCTACCTCTATATTAATTTCCAGCAGCAGGCATTAATTTTCCACACTTTTTTCGCGCATAAAAATGGCTTTAAATTTTCCTACACTTTTTAGCCTCATTGGAAAGTGGCAAGTATTTACAAGCGTTTTTTGGTGAGTTTTTTTCGCTTTTTCTTTGATTTGTTTTTTATTTTTCCTTTTTCTTCACTGTTTCCAGCTAATGTGCATTTGTCATGAAAAACATCGCTTTCGCGCGTCAATTACAAGCACATTAAGGAAAATTCAATTTGAGCGGGTTGGCGGAAAAAGTAAATTTTACACTTAACAGATATGTATGTACATTAGGACGGGTCAATTTGTATGGGATATTTTTTCGACTATGCGCGTATAGCACAGGATTCTACGCGTAATTCTAAGCAGATTTGCCGAAGAAACCATGGGTCTAAAATCAATTTAGCGTTTGCCAAATTGGTAAATTAGGTTCCTTAGCATTTTGCTGTAGTGTCGTAAAGAAGTGCCTAAATGTTGTATAAAAACATGCTATAAGAAGTGTTTTGGTATGAGGAATCCATTACTGCACTTATATTTTTCTTAAAACATCCACTAAAGGGCGCAACAGTGAACATTTTCACATTTTCTTCGAAACTTATTTTCGCAATTTTTCAAACTCCAAATTGAATTTAGAACCATGAGTTCTTCTCAAAATTTGCTTAGGATTAGACAAAGAATCCTCGTGTGCTATACGCACATACTAAAATAAAATGACCCGCTCTAATGTACATGATTTCGTGCTTTGCTGTTTTTTTAACTGAGAAAAAAAGACCTAGATGTGTAAGGCTTAGTACAGCTGAGTGAATGCTGAAATGCTTCCACCTCGTCGTCCTCCAAGTAGTTGCGGCAATAAGGCTTGAAAACGATAATAAGTCACACTGTATGGGTATGGGTGCTTCGTCGACTGAAGAATCTCCTTTATCCACCCGCGAACGACTACCGGTCAGCGCTCACAGAACCGACTAAGAGCCCGTTTGTCCAGGAGCAGTTCACAGATTGCTTCAGGAGCTCCTATCGTTTCACTGTTAGGAAAGATGACCCCTAGGATTTACTGTCTAGCCAATTCAACAACCATACAGTTTTTCTGTAATGCTATTTTGCCCTGGAATCCAAATAAGGCGTACAAGAGAGAGAGGTTGTAGTTATTGTAGCGGCTTATTTAGCCCTACTTAGATCGGATCGTCTCCTAGTCTTTGTCGTCAAGCTCAACTAACAGGATGCACAGGAAAGGTGCCTCTCCGACTGGGTAGGACCAGAGGGAGAGGGTTAGTTCAAAGTGATTTCGTGGACATTCGAAGAGGCGTGTGTGGACATGGGGACATCTAAGTCTATCCTGCGTAGGCAAGAATTTAACCTGATGCATTATCCTGAGCGAAGTTGTGCAAGGTTAGAGAGAGAGAGGTAGAGCATTTCGATAGCACCATAAGGCCATAAGAGATGCTAGTGCCCTAATTGCCGCCGCTTGGCTTTCATGAGAGATATTTTCCCTTGCGAAGTGGTATTGCACTGGTACGCAGCCACTCGAGTACCTCCTTCATTCCGGCCACCTCTACTTGAAATACGTTGCTATACCCGTGAGCATGAACTTGAGTTTAACGGAGAGTTCCCAACAGAGAAAACCTTCTCCAGCTGTTTAGGCGCTCCTGGTAACACCTGGCGCCTAAACACATGCTATGTACTGCAACTGTAAAAGTTTTCTTAATGTAGTTTGTGAAATTTTTGCACACGCACTTCTCAAATGCCATGTAATACAACTTTCTTAAGTTTTAATTTGTTGGCACCTCAAATTATTCTCGGCCTAGTCTGATGCATCCGGCGGGCGTGGCTTGCAACTATACAAAGGTGGTAATAGCTGATTACCATCGGCCACAGTGCCTACCCATTACTTTTTGATTCAATAAATTTTTTTTTTCTATACATACATGAAAACTTACCGGTCTCCTCTCTCACTGAGTTATTCACCAGCACTGCCAGCAGTGAGTCTATTAGATAGTGTCGTCGTTCCCACTTAACGATAGTTCTAGGAAACGTTCCTTGAGCGGACTGCTTTGGTGTCAACCGCCTTCCATCAGAGCATTGTGTCATAGGTGAGTATAGGTGCGAAATGCAGAAATGCACTAAGCGCAAAAGAAGCTACCTGGCTGTAAAGTTTTAACTTAAAGTTCATTAAGAGCTGAGGTAGAAGCTCTTTAACGCTCTCACTAATCGTAGCCGATATAAAATCCTAAAAAGCCTTTCGGAATATTTTGTCAAGTTACATGGCTTGTAAGTCTTAGTTTAAAGCTCATTAAGAGCTGACGGTAGAAGCTCTTTTAAAGTTCTCTCTTGTCGTAGCCGATATAAAATCCATAAAAATCTTTAAAGTTTCACCTGCGATATTTTTTCCCCGAGTAGAGTGCCAACTGCTTAGTTACAGCTGTGACGAACAGTGAGAGCTTTTACTCTGTGCACGCTTATATGAATTTAGCGGAATACTTATATTTTGGTCATGACTGGTTAGAACAGCCACAACTTGTAGTCAGTATGAGTTCATAAAAATATTATTGAAAGCTCTACAAAGCTTCTCCCGCGCGATATTCTCCGATCAAGACTAGTTTTGAGCGATGATAAATAGCGACTTGCCCACGTGCAGAGCTTTTTTGAGCTTTCCGCCGATTTCCTATAGGCGAGCGCATTGGATAAAAGCTCTCACTGCCCATCACTGTAAGGGATATGGTTACGACATCATCTATTTACTATGGGACGCGAGTTAGAGTATGAGACTTTTTCATACAAGTCCATACAATAACTAGGTGTACACGAGCATGAGGTAGTTGTGCACGAGTTTATTCTCCGCACAAAAGCTTTCGAGCTTTCTAAGTACTCTCTGCCATAATTATAGAAAATCCATATGACAGTACCTATTAAATTTCTTGTGGACTATGAGCTGTCCAAACCCTAGGCAGTACAGATGGCGGTGTCTGGCCTTTGTCCGCTCCGTTGACAGCTGTGCTCGGCACAATAGATATGCATAAAGCAGCAGTACGCGCGTACGTTTTTTCGCCAATAATTTTTATACGCTTTTTAACGCTGCCATTTGCAAAGTTGCTACTGCTGCTGTTGTGCGCAAACATAAAACTACATTTTTATGGCTTTTTTCGCAGATTATTTACAGTCAAGGTATATTTTTTTCAAATAAACTGACTAAACAGCAGCAGCGGCACCTACAGCCAGCCAACCAACCATTAAATTAACGTATCCAGTCAGGCCATTGTTCAAAGTAAACTAAAAGCGACTGCCTGGCCATATAATTTCACTACTTTGTGGCTAAAAATGGTTTTTTGGCGCACTTTTTAGCAAAGAAAAATTTCTTTTGTAAAAATTTTATTTATTTATTTTAAGTTTTTATTACACGCTTTTTGTTGTTGTTGTTTATCGCTTAGCTTTTCTTTTGCGAGCACGTTTTTTTTTATTTTTTCCACGCAATTTTCTCTTCTTTTAGCTGCAAGAAAAATATACAAAAAAGAAAACACTAAAGTCAAATAAGTATTTATGTACACATGTATGTATGTATGTATGTAGAGTATGTTGTTTGGATTAAGGCCAACGCACAAATGTCTGAAGTTTTGCACAATGTGCAACATATGTGCGCACTATGTACTCGTTTATTGAGGCCTCATTTGCGCATCACCACTACCACAGCTGTGATACGAATATCTATCGTACTACGAATATGTTTGTTATAGCTAAATAGCTGGCGGTTTAACTCGCCGAGTTTATGAGTTTTTAGCCAACAGCTGACACGCATCTGCCAGTCGGACACATGCGAAGTTTTTGGTGTTGCTGTTAAACAATTTAATGCGTTTATTTTTAATTTTTTATTTTTTTTTCACTATCCTGGCCCACTGACCATGCCTCGTAGTAAGCAAGCTAACCTCTGTTATACACTCTGCTGCGTGCTGTTGCTGCTTTGGTGGCATGTATTGTATGCTTTCCACCCATTGCTTTTGTTTCGAAATTGGCTCCAGTGGCCCGCCCTGGCCTTTGTGTGAGGTTTTTGGCGCAATGTTCTATTCTTTAGTGTTGCAAGAATACTAAAACGTTGAAATTTGCTATGATTTCTGCCGCAATGGCACCAATAAAAGTAATTACTTGCTTACATATGGTTGTATGTATGTATGTGTGCTAATGTATGCAAAACTGTGTGCCAGTATAAGAGCGGGTCGTCTTCATTGCAGACCCACAGCTTATTTCCATCAAAAGTTCAGTGGGTTTCCATTCTATCTGGGTGCTTGGAACGTGTCGCTCCATTAATTTTACTCCTTTGTAAACAAATTTAGACATGGTAGCAAGAATCCCATATTAAGAAATATGAAATGCGGTGAGTAATCTAGAAAAGTTTGGCCATAGAAAGCTTTTATTCGGCGCCAGCAGAGCTCTATAACTTCTTCTTACAAGCTAATGACGAGCAGAGAGAGCTTTTGCTTTGTAGACGTCTTCACAAAAACTACAGAAAGCTTCTCCTGCAGAATATGTTTTGGTAGAGACTAGAGTTTTGCCAAATAGAGCTTTTATTTTGCATCAGTAGATCAGTACAATTTCTACTAAATCATCTTCTTAGATAACTACCAGCGACGACCAGATAGAGTTTTTACTCTGTATGTGTCTATAGAAAAACTAAAGAAAGCTTTAACCGCAGAATATGTTTCGGCAGTTCCTAATCTCGAACGGCTTAGCGAAATATGGCTTCTATTCTGTGCCACAAAGTTCTAGAGCTTCTACTTAATATACTTCCCAGAGAACAGCGATGACCAGAGAAAACTTTTACACTGAAATCTATAAAAAGCTTTAAAAAGCTTATCCAGCTGCATATGTTTTGTTAGTGAATGATCTAGGACTTTTTGGGGTCAAATAGAGCTTTTATTCTGCGCCATTCAAGCTCTAGAACTTTTACTAAGCTTTTGTCCTAGATACCAGCGTCGACCAGATACTGTCCATATAAAAAACTACCAAAAGCTTCAAAAATTGTTCCCCGCCCAATCTAAAATGGTGTTGGCCAGAAAGAGCATTTATTCTGCGTCAGTTGCATATAAAATGTTTATAAAGCTTTGGAAACGTGGCACGCTTGCCTAGGAATTTGGCAAACAGTGATCTAGAAGCAAGCAGGATTGGGTGCAGTAGCCTAGTTCCATGCCAATCACGGCGGT